TGAGCCTAAACCTATAAAAAACTAAGTTCCCTCGTCGGTTGTCTTCGTTCTTCAGCTTAGAACTAATATTATCTTAATATTCGAATTAATACGAATTAATGCTATTAATACAAAATAACTTAAACTACACGCAACGTAGTCGCTAATACTCAAACGAAAGAGATAGACGGAATGGAAAAAGTTCCATCGATCATTCCGTTTACGTACCTAATATTGTATATACCAAGCAGTTATTAAGTCTACGATGAACTACGCGTTAAACTACAGTATGAACAAGTATCGCGATGAAAGTGTTGTCGCCAGAACCTGGTTTAAGAAAATAGGAAAGACAGGCGACACCTCGCTAACCCGGATCCATCTTTTACTGTCATGGAGCTTTGGGCTGGTCACCTGCGTACCAGACCCGAACAAACAAATATACAAATGTAAGGCAAGATATAAAAACGAATAAAACAAGAACATGTAGAAAGTAACATTAATAAAATGTCCATTAACGATGCCTTTAGAATAAATTGTCTTGTAGTTAAGTGAAAAAATATATACTTTTCCGTTTTATGTTTCAACGTAATGGGTGGGCTGGATGAACGCTCTTATTGATCATCTGAATTAGTAATTAAGATATCTCCATTATTTTAAGAGATATTAAAAAGTTTATTCACAGAAGTTATTGAGTATTGAACCAGTTTATGAACACAACGTTCAGTTAAATACGACAACGTATATATTCCTTACTTGCTGAGTGGGGTACCCGCACGTGACGTAGAAATACATGTGAACGAAGGGTGTTCCTACGAAACATCTATTTGTAGTACATCTATGTGTAGTGCATCTATGTGTGGTACATCTCTCTGTGGTATCTTTATCTGCGGTACATCTATCGAGCTTGCACTGTCTCCATATACCTCGTTGGTAACGATATTCTCCAGTACTGTTGGTACAGTAGAACATATATCTACTGGTGGTGCAAGTGTGGGAATCATACACAAATTTGGATAACTAATGTTGTATCTTAAGCTACACAACAATATTTGATTATTTTGTCGACGTCTGTGAACAAGCTTCATGTATCCCATGCATTTTCTACATTTATTACTATCAATAATTTTATACCTATCAATAAAGGATAGGCTGTTCGCTAGCGTCCTCTGGATGGATATAAAAAATCTACTTAAAAATTTGGTTACACCCGTTCCTCGATTTACACGGAGTGTTTGGTCCATGTAGTTCTCTTTTATGCGTACAAAAAACGGTCTAAATGGAGTCTGTCTGTACGAAAAAAAATCTCAAGAGAAAAGGCAATATGAGTGATAAAAAAACTAAATGGAACGAATACTTCGCGTAAATCGAAGGACGGGTGTATATAATTCAACATCACAGAAAGACTTTACACAGGAATTATCGACTATATTCGTTTCCATTAGCGCGCAGAATATAGATGGTATTCATTGGATAATATATTGTTCTTTACCATCTTGTCGAATTTATACAAATTTTATAAATATTTTAACATGATATGATAAATATGTATTTATTGGACCGTTACTATGTCACAGTGAATAGCATTTCCTCCAAATACTTACTGCAAAGATAATAATAATAATGTATTTCAATGACGATTAGTTTCGCAGCCGATATAGTTGTGGCTATGATTATAATCGTTATGTAAATTCATACATATGGATTCGTTGGAAACTGGAAGGATCGATGAATATGCATATCGAACTCGTAAATAATTTCCAACCTTTTTGAACGGCAATTAATATGCAATCATTTTATATGATAAGCGTATCAATACCTCTTTAGAGAAACTTCGGAAAAATTGTTTTTTCTACGGGATCAATGCGACCGGAATGCGAATTACTAAAAACGTGTAAACGTATTAACGAGTATTTTGGCATGGTAACTCGCGGATTGTTCACCGCAATCCTCGTAAAACTTCGAAATTTGTATCGTTCCGTTTTCCCCGGCTATTATAGATTCAATCGAGAATTGTATGTAATTGTTTTCAATTGGCTCCTGTGCGGCGAGATGAATATGGAATCGTACGGGCATGCGTTGTTCTCTCGATTAGAGCAAATGCCTCACGGCGAATTCTTTTATTCCTTCGTATAAAAGCACATGTACAATCACATACACGCGGGTCGGTATTGTTTTGTTTTATTAATAAATCTTTAATAAACAACATTTCACAACTGAAACTTTCTGAAGATCACTCAGGAGGGTGCACTTAAACCTATGTCAAGGTCAAGGTCATCGGTCACTTTACTTATCAATACTACCAAATTACAATACTAAACTTTATTTTACAATAACTTTTTTAGAAACAGCGACACCACAACTAAAACCGTCACAATACCACTCATGATGATTACCTTGACAACATATTAAAAATCATCGAAACCGGATGTGGTTTCCTTATTGTAAATATTTACCATAAATTCATATTGGATTCTGGTATCCGTTAAATAACTAATAGAAATCTTTTCAAAATTTCTATAAAACTCCACAGTGTACTAATCAGTAAATAACGTTCGTTTTTCAGGCAAGAAGAAACATCACGCGAGATCTAAACCCAAGGTAGCAAGGGGGTTAAAACTAACACCGTAGGTACGGGTATCTCGCGGCCATCCTCGCCGGGTCGGAATAGGGCGGCACTATATTACGATCGTGGGATATCGTCTGTAGGAGTCCTCATTGTCGCCGAGCGAGATCTCCGGGATTTCGTCCTTATCCTCTGGACAACTGGCGAAAACTTTCACGATAAACTCGACGGGAATGTCCTCGGAGAGAGAGAGAGAGAGAGAGAGAGAGAGAGAGAGAGAGAGAGAGAGAGAACATGCCTTCCGTTTTCCCCGTCGCGCATAGGTCCCTCTGCCCCCTCACAATCCCGCTGGCCCAGAACGAGGCTTTTCCCTTCGAACGCCGAAAACGCGATTCCGTAATCTCGAAGAAAGTATATAGTTACACCTCCTTCTTCCTTACGTCGTTCCAGATGCCGAGATATAGATACGAAATGGGACTGGAAGGTTCGCGGACGGAGGAAATATGGTGGTCTGGAGGGGAGGAGAGGCCAACGGGGTTCCGGATATCTCATGGATTCCGGGAGTAGCCGCCCGGGGCGTTCAACCAATTAGCTAACTCCACGGTACTTTACCCTCGAAACCGCTAACGAAGAACCCGGCCGAATGAAGAAAATCAAGAGGAAGAGGAGGGAAATTCAGATATTCCTCCGGGGC